GCTGGGGGGTCCGGGACAGCGTGAGCAGGGGCTTGGCGCTTGTGCGGGCCGAGGAGCGCCTTTATCCGCAGGGAATGGCTTTACTGAGGCGGAGTTAAAATTCAGCTCTTTGTTTCAGATCGCGAGGCGCCGGGATGCAGAGAAGTTTCTTCATTAGCGGGGTCAGAGTGGTTAATTTGCATTTCTTTGAGAGAGGTCAGAGGCTTCCCCCCAGGTGTAAACTTCAGCCCTCGGTCGCCAAAGCTGGCTTTGAAAACTTCGGCTTGCACGATTCGTGTTTGCCAGCGACCTCCAGACAAGTCTGTGTCACGAGGTGCACTGGGCAACGCTGACGCTAGCTGCTGCGCGCTTTTAGTATAGTTTTGGCATTAAAGAAAATTAAACCAGTTTTTTTAGAAACTGGGCCATGTTCTACGTCAAGTAAGCATGCACAGTGTCACTCACAGCCACTTCTAAAATCAGCAGCAGCCTGGGTAAGTCAGGCTTTGGCTGCGTGAAAGACTGAGCGGGCGCGTGGTCCGTAGCTGTTCCCCGCGACGCCGCCCAGGGGAGTCGGCAGGACTCGGTCCAGGGGCTGGCTGCGCGCAGGGCTTGCGGTGCAGGCACCCGGGCGAGCGCTGGATAAGCTGCCGCGCTCCTCGGAGTCGGTTCGGGCACGTGAGCAGCTCGCAGAGGCTCAGGCTCGCCACCTGTACTCACCCCCAGCACAAAGGCCTTGTTGCCTGGGAGTCGCTCTCCTAACATGAAGGAATTCGTACAACTGGGAGCGAGGGCCGTCACGCTTAGTTTTCTTCTGGACCGTGCAAGCCAACGGGCAGGAATCGGGTGCCAGCCTGCACGCGGTGGGAAGCCACTCACCAACGCAAATGCCCCCCGCAGCAGAACGCTGTTCTTGCTGCTGCCAGTTTGCATGCTTCATATAAATGCTTTAAAATTATTACCGTGCTGGTTTTTCCCCTCCCTGTGCCAGAATGCTCACTTTGAATTCAAAAATCCCCCAGCAGCACTGCAGACTTCATGAGTCCCAGCAGTGAGGACGGTCTCAGGGTGCTGGGATTAGCAGCCTGCTGTTACACCTGAAGTTATGTACTTAGCCGGCATAATAATTACAATTTAACTGCAGTAGCCCTTTCACCGGCGTGCTGTGGGGATTAACGTTTAACCCGTGTGAAATGTCCCCTCTCGCTCAGGGGGAGGCAGCATGCTCTAAATTAACAGTTGCGACCAAACCCCTCCCTGGAACAGAGGCAGGAGTGCGGTCAGTGCCCTCTTGTGGAAAATGATGTAAAAAAAAAAAAAGTTTAGAAATAAAGCTGGGGAGCTGCCCTTAGGGAATTCACTCGGGGTTGCCCGTACTGCAGAATCGTACCACTGCAGTCATGCCACTGACATCACGGCAGCGTAGCTACCCAGCCTGGGCGAGGCGACGCAAGGATAGCACAGCGTTTAGTTACACAGAGAAAGTTCTGTATCCGGACACTTCTTTGGAACAATAACACACCTGCACATGCAGTCGTGGTATTTCAAATCACCGTCCTACTGCACAGTCTAAAATAACTTCAAAATGGAGACATCTCCTTATTGCTGTGCAAGAAAGGAAGCACGTCGTCTTGACACAAGGCGTTACTTCTGCGTCAGGGTTCACACCGGGGTATAAATACAAACGCCTCTTTAACCATTAGTCACTGCAGAGCAAGACGTGTAATGAAACCTGTAATTCCCACTCTGCAGAAAGAAAGCAAGCATTCATCTAAACGCCTTCTGGCCAAGTGAAGGGACGAGTCTGTTAGGAGCCCACGGTCCCTTTCCAGAAAGCGGAGAGGAGAGGAAGCACGTCCAGGAGGCATTTCAGATCACAGTATGAATCACCTTCTAAAATCACTTGCCTATTTCCACCGTGTTCCCAAATTGGATACTTTCATTAGGTGCCTAAAGTTAGTGGGGATTAATTTGGGCCCAACTGCTTGAAACAATTAGGTGACGAGGACATTAGCCTCAGGAAGCCCAGGGATGAAGATGGTGCGGTGACTGTGTCCCACTGATTTGACAGTAATGAGATGTCTGAGAGAAGATGGACGAAACGGCCTTTCACAGACAGTTTTGCTCTCTGAAACAGATCGGAACTTTTCAATTCCTCATGTGTCTGAAAGAGGCTAAGAATATTAATGAGTTACTTAAGAGGTACTTTAGTAGGTCAGTGCCATCATGTTGCAAGGGAATTTTATCTGTGTTTCTGCAGAACAAAAAAAGAGAAAGGTAAAGTGTATTGGTTAGCTTATAGAAAATATTTGGCATGATTTCTGTGGGTGATCAGAACGTACTGAGGTTTTACATAGAATGACTTTGCTTTTGAAGGGAACCGGTTTGGAAGGATGTTGTTCAGAGGAACCGGGGAGCCCTGTGCTCTACAGGAACGCTTTCTCACAATTTAAAAACAAATGGTACATTCTGGTTCCCTTTCGTGTTTCCCTTGTTCCTGCGTAGTTAGAGGGGATGAGGCGTCATCTGCTGCAAAAGGACAGGATAAACAAGTTCTAGGTAACGCCTGTGTACTTCTTTCTGTTTTGAAAGAGATGGGTTCTTCCATGAAAGTGACTTCTCACAACAGGGATTTCCCCCAAAATATTTTTGAATTCATGTGTTTGAAAAAGTTATTTTTGGAACCCAAACTGCATGAGCTGAGAAAATAGTAAGTCTTCCAGTGAAACAAAAAAAGCCTTTTTACAAGCATGCCTGACCTCTCTGCTTAACATCAGTTGTTTGAATGTTTCTGCAGCACTTTCGGTAGACATTCAGACTTACTGTCTTGTCTTTATTTTTTCCTTCTCAACGGAAAGGAAGAACTTCATCAGTTGTATCCTTTTTGTACCTTTCATCCCTCACACGCAGGACTCTTCAGGAAGACTGGCTGAAAGGCACTCACATCTTCCTGCCTAATAGATCTGCACAAAGCTGCTGTTGTATTACTCCTTTTTTCCATCATCAGCACCATCCATATGAAGCAAAACTGGTAGAACATTTCTTCCACAGGAAGATGTTTCTTGCAGCGTTAGCTGGGGTTTAGCTTGCGATTCTGCCCTGATCAGCTCCCAGTTGTGCACAAAGCCCTGTAACCCACCCTGCAGCCTTGACAGAGGGCTGGCAGCCACGTTGTATGATCACATACCTCGTTTGCTTAGGAAGCAAGGCTAAAAACTGGGTTTGTGGACTGATGGACAGAAACCCCACGCAGCACAGCTCAGAGACAGCTGACACAGCTGACAAGAGGCAGTAAAAGCAGCTTTCAGCAGCGCTTCCTCTTCTCTCATGTTAATTCACCCTACCTTTACTCCTGCCAAGATCTAAGTAACCTCCTAAGAGGAGACACCCTTGGCTTCAGAGATTTCCATGCTTAGAACCTATCTAGTAATTTTTTGCTCCACCTTCCTTCAACTGGAAAAACACAAAAACCTCGTTCTGTTTTAATAAAATGAGCTGCTCTGGGAACTGGAATACATCCACCACGTGTAGGTGGCTGCTCCGCTCAGAAACTGGATGGGCAGTTCCTGTAAAAGATGCCTGGGATGAAGTCCCTGCCTGGAGATACTCAGAGGATTTGAGAAAGGCTGGGGAAGAGAGGGGAGAGTAAAGAATATTTTGAGTACAGAAAGAGATGTGGAAATAATGGAATCTGCACTGATAACTTCCTTATATAAATTACATTGTATTATTTAAGGCTAGGAAAGGCATTTGGTGTAATTTGGTTATCAAAAATACTTATGAATGGACAAACTTTTTGAATTCTTGGAGCCACCTTCCAACTTCTCCATGTGGTGCTGAGCCCCAGGACGTCCTACACGCGTCTCTGTATTGCATTACTGACACGCTGCTGTGCCTCAAGAGAAAATGATTCCCTTGGTACGTGTGTACCTGCTGTACAGGAATCGTGCGTGTCCGTGGGGGTGGGTGGGCTCTTGAAGACGTCTGACTGTGGGGTGCCTCCCAGAAATTTGGCATTTCCATTCCTGTTCCAGTCAGGGAGCTAGAGCAGTGCAACACGGGACAGTAGTTCATCCCCCCTGCTCAGGAGCTGCTTGGCTAGGAGGGTTCCTGTCTCCACTGACTCCAGGGGACTCGATGCATAACTTTAGCATGGCTGTCATCTTGGGATGGCCACAGGTGAGAGGAATCGGTCCTGAGCCTGCAAGTAATTTCTCCTGATTTGTAGGACAGCTTGGGCCGGATTCCCCATCCTTCAGGGGTATTTTGAGGATGTTTTAAGGATTGTGGAGCTCTCAAATACCTTGGCAGTGGATCCACATAGACAAATAACTAAATATTATCTCATAGCATACAACAGCTTTGTGAGCAGTGAATTAAGGAAGTCTGTTTCTTAGGAATTTACATCTCAGAGCTGAGCTCGTGGCCTTTCTCAGGGACGTAACAAAGACAGCACAGCTTTCAGACTCTCCATCATGCGGGCAGTAATAGGGCCTGTCTGCTTCACAGAGCCACCTATTTTCAAAAACTTACAGGAATTTGATGTATTGGAGTCTGCCAACCCTCTGTCAACTTGCTTAAGGCTGACTAAGAGGTATAGAAGTTGTCTGGGGAAATGTACACATGCACACACACCCCTCATTTGCCTAAGCTGACGAATACCCCGCTACATACCAAATAACACTTTTTAAAAAAGAACTAAAGCCAAACCTGAAACAGCAAGCTTTTATCCTACCTCTTGGTATTTGCAATCTCAAGTTACTTTCTGAACCCTATCCAGTAGGCCAGTCGTAGTTGAACCATTTTGTATAAAAAGGTACAGCAGTATATTTTGAGGGTACTGGGAAATGGCGATTTTATGAAATGGATCCCACCTCATTGCTGTGAGAAATCCTTAACAACAGTTACCAGCTGTCATCTCTTCCTTTACAGATTCTGTTTTATGTAAACGGGATATATTACATCTTCTACTTCTTGGCAACTCTTGCAATGGTTGTTTATAAAAGTAAGTTGCATGTATTCTAACACAGAGGTAGGCTGCGTGCTTACGACCTGCTTGTGGTTGGTCAGCATGCCTACTGTATTTCCCCGGCTTATTTACACTGTCTTATTCTACAGGTCAGGTTTTCAGTTATCCAGATGATTTTCTGGCTCCTGATCTTGCCTTGCTTTTCATTATGGCCATTCTTGAAGTGCTCCGATTACAGTTGGGTATGTCCTTTTCAGTGGAATATAATCTTTAAACATTCATCATTCTGAAATTGAGTCTGTGTCAAAACGTGCCAGTTTAGTAGACTAGCAGATATTTGGAGACTGTTGTTCATTTATGTCATTAAACTTTATCTGACTGATCAATAGATGTGTCAGAGGATCAAACAGAATTTGCTCTCACATGAAATATAATCTATAAAGACATTAAAAAACAATAGCTGGGTTGTCAGGAAGCAATATAACTGGGGCAGCTGGAATGCTGTTTACAAGTGAGCGTGACTTGTGAGAATGAGCGTGTTGAAACGCAGAGATTTCCATTCACTGACGCGATCCAGCTCCTTTCCCTGCTCCAGCAGCGTAGACCAGTAACCGAATGGCCGCAGCCTTGTGGAACGGGTAATGCTAAAGAGGTCCCCGAGCAGTGCGCGGCTGCCGCCGCGACTACACCTTTTCCTTCACTCCTGAAGACACACCAGCTCCAACATCTTTGTTTCACTAAGACAGAACAGCATAAAGGGCCTCCTGACGCCTGTCCAGAGCTTGCTAAAACTTCACAAAGTCCTTTTTTTTAAAAAAAAACAAGTTCCTATTAAAATCCGTGCTCAATATTCTTAAGTCATTTATGCAAGGTGGGTCTCTGCTGAGCTCAGCTGACTTGCTGTAGGGGTGAATTTAGCCTGCTGCCTTCACGCGCTCTGCATACGTTTGCTTAGAGCCTGGCGGATGAATAAAGAAGCAAATTTCAAGTCTAATGCAGTTAAACAGCAAAATCTACTGAGACTAGCTTGGAAATAAGATGCAAGGAAGAGACAAGTGCAGCTTCTCCACAATGATAGTAACTTCAAACAGGAATAGATTGGTAGGCAATATAGAAGATTCCATGTGGCATAAGATTTTTAAATCAGGATTGGATGCTCTTAGATGTGCACAGCAGTCCCCAAGTCGTCACACGAAGTGCGGGGCTGGGGGAAAGTTTGATGGTTGACTAAGAAGTTGAGCAATCAGAATGGTTGCAGCTTCATAACTGATTATCTGTGGTAAGAAAAGATAGGTGTCACGACTTCGAGTATCAGCTGATTGCTCTTTATTTAGGTTGTTTGGTCAGCAAGAAATGGATTGCTTTTTATTTAGGTTGTTTGGTCAGCAAGAAATGGATTGCTCTTTATTTAGATTGTTTGGTCAGCAAGAAATGGATTGTCCACTGGTCTTTGGGTTTGTCCTTATGTTTACTGACAGAGCCTGGATTCAGGCCAGTGCTTCAATGTACTCTGAGCTGCAAGCACTAGGACCTTTTCTGAACAGGAATACTCTAGACTTACGGCTTGTGATACTGGCAGAAGAAATCAAAAGACTCACATCAGCTTTTTATTTTCTTCAAGGTTCAAAGGGCAACCTGACAGAAGAAGAGGCACCATTAGGGCTCAGTCTTGTGATCACAGTTGGAAGTGTGATTCTGTCTGTGTATTTCCTGGTGTGGCAAACCTACGTGCTGAAAGCAGACGTCATTCTAAACGCTGTTCTTCTCTTTACATACGGGCTGGAGTCAGTCCTGAAGGTCATAGCCATTGCTGCTTTTGTCAGCTAAACCCTAGCAGTTTTCCACACGTTTTCAACACATTTCTTCTATAAAAGAGTGGGTTTCTATTTCAAATGTTTAATTCTTTTGCATATAAAAATCCTGTAAAACTTTCCTCGGTTTAAAGCACACATTTTTGAGGGGCAGAGGTCTCCCTGAACGGTAGGTAAAATCTCCTGTCCACAGCTGTGTTACACGCTCTCCTCAGTTAGCTCATTTATGGGCAAAGGCAACAGATGATGCAGCAAAAATGCTGCACGCTCTGGCATTCGTCAGGGATCGATACTCAGTATTGACTCCCAGCACAGAGTGGGAGCCAGTGCATCATCCGTCTGCGTGCTGTTGAGATGGCGCGAGCTTTCACGGCGTAGCAGCAGCGTACAACCCAAGTGACACAGAAACGAATCAGGCCAACGCAGCGTGGACTCCTTTCTGCCTTACCGCGTGCGCGTTCGTGTCCGAGGGCGCAGTTTCTCTTCTGCTCTCATTTGTGTTTTCAGACCTCAGTGGCAATTTCCCTGACTTTAGTAGGGCAGTACCCGGTGTATCCCGGTGGGAGAGAGATGAACTGAGTTTTGTGCATACCCAGAGAGCCGAGCTACCGGGTTTGGGCCGCTGGTTCCTGCTGCTGCAGAGGCCAAAGGCAGCAGCCTCAGGGTACGTTTGTTTCAGTAGGGCGGCCTTACGATGAGCAGAAACGTTCACCATTCACTCACCCTGCTGTCCTACTTAAAAGTCCAACAGAATGTTGTCAGGTGCATTTCTGTTTGGTGTTAAATGTGGTCATTTCCATGATTCTGCAAAAATTACTACACTCAAGCCTTGTCTTTTAAATTAAGACCTGTGTACAAATTCAGATTCGTTTACTGTATCAAAAGTATGTATGCATTAATGTAAAGCGTCGGCAGTTTGTGGGGTTTTGTACAAGCAAGTTTTATATTCAGAATTTCCTACTTTTGTATTTATTTATTCAAATCAATAAAGTTTTAGATCTAAGAAGTGTTTGAAGTGCAGAGCGTCTTGTTCAGATCCTAGGCTACAGCTAAGCTACACACAGAAGGACCTGGGCAAGACTGGATTTGTGCAGAAGCCCCTCCTGAGCCTGCTGCTGCTGTATGCAGGCCATTCTCCTGCCCTGGCAGAGAGCACCCGAGGACTGCGCTAATCTGCACTAGCCAGGGGCTGAAAACACAGCGGGGCAGGCCCCGCACCGCCGCAGCCACACTGCTGTTTTCTTTCCAGCAGTGACAGAATCACAGAACGTTCAGGATTGGAAGGGACCTCTAGGGTCACCCAGTGCCACCCCCTGCCCAAGCAGGGTCACCCAGAGCAGGCTGCACAGCACCGCGTCCAGGCGGGGCTGGAAGAGAAGAAGCCTCCACAGCCTCCCTGGGCAGCCTGGGCCAGGGCTCCGGCACCCTCAGAGGGAAGAAGTTCTTCCTCATGTTCAGACGGAACTTCCTCTGCTTCAGTTTGTGCCCGTTGCCCCTTGTCCTGTCGATGCAGAAGGTCCTGTGGAAGGGCCCAGTTTCATCCCTCGGTTATTCCCAGAGGAGCCCCTTCCAAGGCCGGGTAGCACCAGCTTCCATCCACGTTACACCGCCCAGCAGCCAAAATCAAAGCAGACACGTTGGCAGGAGTCCCCCTGGGCCAGACCCTGCTGAGGCAGCGGCACAGCCAACCCTTTGTTGAGCAGCAGCAGCGAGGCTGCACCCGTGCAGACAGTGTGAAAGCGGCAGAGCTGGGTGCTAAGGAGCAGCCAGGAAACCGAATGACCAGAGGTTTCTGTGCTTCATCTGCGTTAATCAAACACCCACCCGTTTGTCCTTCCCGATTCGCCTGGCACAACGGAATGTACTCCTCACGTGTTCCGAGAGGTGACAAACCTGCCGAGCTGTACCTGCCCGCTTAACGACGAACGCATACTGAGCAAAACCCCTTCCTGTCTGCGTACAAACAAAAGCATAAACTTTTCCTGGAACTTACACCTGCCTTACACAAAGGTCTGGCAATAGAGCATCTGACAGGTTTTAAAGGAAATAGCGCAAAGGACATTTTTTTTTTTTACCTGAATGTAGGTGGTGCAGCAGACGGGGTCACACACGTTAACTTCAAGTTGCGGCCTCCACGCTTTACCTTCCTTCTCGTGGTGCTCCCTACGAACAAAATAAATGCAAAATATTAGCACGACTGGAAGTAGCAGAGGCCCAGGGTATAGATTCAGCAGACACCAGCAAAGCTAGCGGAAGGTGTTCCTACCCCCAGGTGTTTGACCCCACCGCAGATCACCGCCCCTCAGCTACAGCCCTACAACCACTGCTGACGCTGCGCCGTAAAACACGATCCCTGGCCTGACCCGTGCAGAAAACAGCCCTCGGAAACGCTCCTCCGGATGAGGCTGTTACTTAGGTGATGGCTGCCACGTTTCTGCCCAACCCCACAGCACGGTCCGCGCTGGGGACAGTCTGCTGGGCCACGCACATAAAGCAGCCTCCTCCTCGAGCTTCATTAAACAGTGTGGAGTTTTTATGTATGTATATATATATTTATATGTTATAAAACACAGTGAACCCCTTGCTGCCTAACCATCACCTAGACGAAAAAGAAGAATTAGCAGAGAACGACAGTGCTTGCTGACAGTCAGCAATGGGGTAAATACACACACAAAATGCAAACCAAAAACCTCTGAGCTCGTTTCCGAGCCCCGCCGGCTGGCTTGCAGGCTGGTCACAGCGTCGGGGACGGCTGTCAGTGCTTGCGGGGGGTCGGGTGGCACCAGCCTGGGTTTGCACCTTCAAAAGGGCACGACAGCTCTGTTTCAGTTATCAGTTTAAAATAAAATTGTCCATGAACTTTTTCTGATTAGGTGAGCAGATACTGGGGTCCTGCTGCTGCTGACAGCCCCCCACTCTGTGGTGAAGGTAGGAGAAGGATGAAGAAATCTGTAAGCTTCAGCCAGCTCCTCTGTCTCAGGTATTTCCAGGGTTTGAATAAGAATCATAATTCATGCTGGTGACCCTGATTGCATGACAGCTTCTCTCCATGCTGAGCTGGGACAAAGACCCAAGGTGAACTGGGCCCTGCCTCAGAGAGTTTCTCTAACCAGGAGCTCCTTTCCAAACCGTTCCCACTGCTCGGAGAAGCCAGGGCACGGCATAGTGAAGCCATTGATGACATTTGCCAGACATAAGATTGCTGGAGCTTTTAATTATGAGGGCCCAGCCCTTCTGAAACAGGACAAGCAAGTCGGATGAAAATGCCATTAAAAATTTAGAGGAACACATATTTTGAGGAGCTCGGTTTGGGTGTTGTTTACTCTGCAAGGAAGAAGTCTTTGTTCTCAAGCCATCATAGGGGTGTCTGCCGCCAACCTGATTTAAAAGGCTGATCCTGAGAGGCAAGTTAACCTCCTGGGATTTCAAACTCGGAGATACTCCGGGAGATAGGACTTTATTGGCCCGTGGCTTTTTTGTGTTCCTCAGCAGGCAGAAACAACATACAGACCAAAACCCAGGCGAAGCGGAACAGTCCCCCAGCGACCACCGTCTTCGTCACAGCGCTGAAGGGCTTCGAGCCGCGGCGGAAGGAGCAAAGCCGAGGACGCGCGCTCGTTTGGTACCACATCTGGGAGCCGAGCCGGCGGAGCGAGCGGGCGTGCAGGAACTGCCGCCGAGCAGCAGGGTAATTCCCGGCTGGCCGATTGCCTCTCCCCACTCCGACCAGCATCAGCTGGTGCAGGGAAGATGTAGTAAGCTCCACTGTGGTTTTCTTCCCCGCCAGAGGAGAAGTTCCCTCCTCTGCTCAGCAGTCAGAGATCTCCTGTGGGGTGCAGCACCTCACGGCAGCCTGCTGTGCCTGGCTTCCTCACGAACGTGATGCCAAGGCTGCCAGGTAGCAAGCAGTCACTGCCTTAAACAGCAAGTGGCTCCTCCAGCAGAATCCTGCCCATTGCCTGGTTGCATCCTGGGAAAGCCAGCCCAGCCCAGCGGTCCCAGTGGCAGATAGTGGATCCTGCACAAAACCTTTCAGCTGGCAAGGCTCGCTGGGCTCTGGCATAGTTGCCATTCCCACCACGTTTCCCTTCTGTTGAAGCAATCTCCCTTCCCCTGCCCGGTGGTCACTCTCTCAGTGCTGCTTCTCCCAGGGCCGGCCACGTTTTCCCAGTGCCAGCCCTGCGATCTCACCGACATCGCAACGAGGAAGATGACGGGGCGCTGGGTGGGTGCATCACACCGAGTATCGGTTCACGTTCTTCCGCGGTGGAAGAAGTCGTTCTGTCAAAACCAAGCTGCCAAAATTGTGACTGTCATGGGAGGAACTGGCTCCCCCCGTGCCCA